GAGAAAGAGAAAGAGAGGGAGAAAAGGTGAGAAATCACCCTCCAGGGGGATGGCCAGGCCTCAGTCCCTTCTCAATTCTCCTCTTGGGATGTTAGGCACACACACACACACACACACACACACACCCCTGTCGTATTTTCCAGGACTGGAACCATGCACTCAGCCATGTGGGATCCAGCTGCCGTAACTACCACGCCGTCTGGCAGGGCACCTCATCTCTGTCGGTTCATTCTGTACCTCTTCATCCCTCCTCTGCTCTCATTGCCCTCTCTGATGATCACGTCTGCGTTTTCCCATCTCTCAGACCCTGCCTCTCCCCTGCCTTCTCTTTGTATCTCTCTCCCTGCTCTCTTATTACTGTCTCTTCCAAACTCATTCCTGGTCTTGGTCTCCACCATTGGCCCACAGCACTCCCCAACATAGCCTCACCTTCAGGTGACTCCTCGGGCTCTGGAAAGGAGCGGCGAGTATCACGGGACCGGTAGGGCCAGCGGGCTCCCGGACCAGGTGGAGCAGGAGCCTCAGGTTCACCGTAGGGGCCACTGTCATCCTCAAAGTCGGGCATGTCGAAGGGTGGTGCCCCATAAGGGGCCTCACGGCGGGCAAAGGGCCCAGGTGGTGGTGGGTACGGGTCGTAGGACAGCACAGGTGGCGAGTACAACTCAGGCCCATAGGGGAGGCCCTGATAAGGTGGGCCTAAGTCTGGGCCATACTCATAGGGGAGTCCAAAGCCACCTGGTCGTGGGGGCCCATACGCAGGGGGGCGTAGCACATTGCACAGGGCCTCAAAGTCATCTGTGAACAGGAGTCCAGCCAAACCATCAGCCCTGGCTTGCATAAGTACCCACCATTCACGTCGCCCCTCCGGGAAGAGGAGCCCAGAGGAGAGGGTGTGAGGGCCTTAGGCTGAGGCACAGAGGTGTGAGAGGCTTGAAAGGTGGAGCTGGATGGGAAGAGGGGTGAGGGGTTGCCAGAGCCAGGACTGGGGGTCTGAGGACTGAGACTGGGATTTGGAGGAGCTAGGATCAAAGATACTAAGACTGCAGCTAAGAATTGGAGTCCAAGGTGCTGGGGTTTTGGGGGCCCCTGGGAGCTAAGACTAGGGATCTGAAGAAATGAGATGGGGACCTGGACTGGGGAACCCCAGGATGCCGCTAGCAGCCTGCGGGGCAGGACGCATGGGAGGAGGTCTGGTTCATTAGGACTTAGAGGTCTGAGGACCCAGGACGGGGGTCTTTGGGAGACCCAGAAGGTTTTTTGTTTTTTGTTTTTTCTTAAAAAATTATTTTATTTATTTATTGCTTTTTTTTTTTTTTTTCCAGGAGAGGAACGGGGGGGGGGAAAGTGAGGAGTGAGAAAGCAATACACCAGGTCTGGGACTCAAACTGTGGTCTGCCCATGGGAGTCCAGCACTTTAGCCACCACACCAACTACCAGCCCGGGACTGAGAGGTTTTAAGAGCCAGGACTCAGGGATATTTGGGCAGTGTGTTGAGGTCTTAGGCACCTTTGGGCCAGGATGGTGGCATCTAAGCAACTGGTATTTTAAGACTAAAAGTCCAGGATTTGGGGACAGTATCTCATGGGCTGTGGCTTGGGATCTGGGGAAACCAGAAGTCGAGGATATGGGAGGCCAAACCTCAGGGACCTATGGACAGGATCTGCTTAGCAGGCCTTGGGTTTCTGTGGCCGACACTGGGAAATCTTTGGGATGTGACCTGAAGATCAAGATTCTGTGATATGCCATGACATGTGAGTCTAAGGGGCCAGGTCTGGGAGGAGCTAGGGGATCTGAGGGCCTGGGTTTGGCACCCTCCTGGGTCAGGGGCAGTACCTGAGTCCTGGGCAGGGCAGAGGGCACAGTCCATGCCCCAGGCCTCTCCATAGAGGCAGCAGCACTCCGTATAGGTGGCCTGGCGGTCCAGTCGGGGGCGACTACACACGAGGTCAGCCCCTACTTCCTGCCAGCATACTCCCAGATTGTCATCTGTGGGTGGGGACAGCACACACCAAGACAGGATTGGCATTGGGACCTCCCAAATGCTGGAGCAGCCCAGCCCTTGCTGTGCTTATGGACAACTCTTCTCGTCGGCCCTGATCTGCCTCCCAGAAGCCCTAAGGCTCCCTCAGGTTCAGAGCAGGGTTCTGGATTGAGGACAAGGCTTATTCTGGCATGAGGCCTCCACACAGGAAGAGAGGGCAGAAAAGGGGATTAACAACTACAAGACAGCACCCAAGAGGGCTCTACACACAGCCAGTCTCTGGAGGATGGTGTGACCCTGGGCAGTTCCTTTCCTTCCCTGGGCATTGTTTGGTTGAAGTCTCGGAGTGTGGGGGGATGTTATAGCAAAAGGAAATGGGAGAAGAGAGTTTGGGCCAAAGGGCAAAGGAAGGTGGGGGAGATACAGAGAAAGTGCATTAAAGAGATGGAGACTCAAGAGAAATTGACAGAGCCAAGAGAGAGAGAAAAAGTCAGACAGATTCAAAAGGGGGGAAAGAAAAGACCCAGGGAGACAAGATAAGCACATGCAAGAGTCAGACTCAAAGAAAATAGGAAAAGATGCAGAGAGAGAAAAGAGAATCAGAGACCTAGAAACAGATTCAGAGTGTCAGAGATTCAGAGAAAAGCTGAAAGAAACCCACAGAGCGAGGGCAAGAGGCCAAGACTCAGAGACACACAGAGAAATAGAACAGGTAAGGCTGGCCTCCTGGCCTGGTGGTTAAGAGAACCAGATCCCATGACTGTATGGTTCATATCCCAGCCCAGCATCTTGAAAAACCATATGGGGTGCATGTGCATGCCTGCCCAAAAATCTAGACAGGATGGAGAAATGGACAAGGGATTGCGGCATGGTCATGCCCCATTGGGAGGTGCTTTTTCCTTTCCCTGCGTGTCTGTCTCTGGTGACTGTACACACCTTTTGACAAACAAAAAAGAAGAAAACTAAAACAGGAAGCACTCATTTAGCACTTACTAAAACTAGGCTCCATTCTGTCCTTAGAAGTAAAACTGCTCACAGCTACCTTGTAACGTAGTGGCTTTGCGCCCAATGTGCAGAAAGGAAGCCGGGGTCCAAAAGCGACGAGCACTCGCCCACATGGCCAGGCTGCCTCTAGCACCTCCACATTTAACCACTAGGCCAGTGGACCTCTTAAAGACAAGGCTAAGTAGTACCCCCCAGGGGGCGTGGGCGAGACTGCGCTGTGAGGGGCTTGGCTTTCCAGAGGAGTGGGCGAGGCGGCTCGAGGCTGAGCCGGGGTTACCTAGGCTCTGGCTCTCATTGGAGACGCAGCGGCGCCGTGAGCCGTCCAGCACCAGCGGGGGTTCACACGTGCAGTGGTAAGAGCCCACGGTGTTGACGCAGCGGCCGCCCTCACAGGCGGGCTCCTCATCGGCGCACTCGTCATTATCTAAGGAGCAGGGACAGGGGTGGGGTTGGGGGGTGGTTAGGAAGCAGGTGCCTCAGCGCCCTCCCCGCCCTCTACCATTTCCCAGTTCTCTTCCCAGCTCTTTGACAGTGACAGATGGAGTCTAGACTCCAGGAAGGACTTCCCGCTGGTGGTGGCCACATTCCAGAGCGGGGCTGGCGTGGCCTGGGCTGGGAGAGAGGGGAGTGGTGGTGGTGGATGTGGGGCTTGTACCAATGCACTCCAGCCTCTGGGTGTGGTAGTAGTAGCCGTTGCTGCAGGAACAGGAGGAGCCCCGGAGCGGGTTCCACACCTGGTCTCGGAAGAGATGGCACTCGTCCACGTCTGCGAGAAGGGTGGTCAGAGGCCCGCCCCCCACCAAGAGAGATGGGGGCGGGCTGGATGGGGGGAGGGGCGTGCACTGCAGGGTGCAACCAGGGAAGACAGAGACAGAGATGGGCATAGAGTCACAGAAGTACAGATAGAAAAAGAGCAGGAGTGGGACAGATAGGAGAAAGCATGGGGTGGGAGAGACAGATACAGAGAAACAGGCAGAGTAAGAGACAGAGATAAAGAAAACAGGGAGAGTGGAGACGGAGCTGGGGCTGGGAGATGAGGGTGGGTCACAGCTCAAGTGAAGCCTCACCTCTTCGCAGGCTTGGGTCTCCACTGGGTGCCAGGTAGCCGCGGCCATGGGGGCACAGTGACTGGTACTCCACTGCACAGAGAGACCCGCTGAGCCTAGACTCTGGCCTCCTAGCCCCTGCCCAGGGTCCTGACTGCCCAGGCCCTCCTGTGTCAGGGCTTCTTCCTGCCCCGCGCCCATCCTTTGCCCAGGTCCTCAGGCCCCACGCCTGTTTGTGCCTCTCTTAACATCATGCACATCCATGCACCTGCCTGGCAGCTCACTTCTGCCCTGGCAGCATCCAGAAACGTCCCCTTTCCCACTCCCGTCACCCTCAGCCCTGTGTCCACCCTCCAGCCCAGGCCTACCTGTCTCGGTGCCAGGGCACTGCTGGATTCGGCAGCCGCTGCCCCAGCCCTCGCCCACGGTACAGCAGCACTCCTGCCATGTCACGTTCCGTGCCAGGATGTTGTCACATGCATCGGGGGCTGCTGTGTCAAAGTAGCACTCCCGGCGCCCACTGCCCACAGGGCCCTGTCTAGGTGTGCTGGGCCTGCGGGGTGGAGGCGGCGGGGGTGGCCTGGCAGGCAAACTGGGACTGGCAGGTGCCTGGGGCTGTGAGCCTGGGAATGTGCCTGGGGAGACAAGGGGCTTTAGTCCAGCTTCCAGCCTCCCTCCCCCACACCTAAGATGGGGAAACAGGCTTAGCAGGCACCAGTCATTCGTGCCAGAACCAGACACCTTATTTCTTTCTTTTTTTTTTTTTTTTTAAGAATTATTTCATTTAACTTTATTTATTATTATTATCATTATTATTTTCCAGTTTGATCAGAGAGAGAGAGAGGGAGTGAGAAAGCAAGCCACCAGGTCTGAGACTTGAACTGTGTTTAACCACCATGCCACTTGCCGGCCCCAGACACCTTGTTTCTCATCCCTCTGTCACTGTCTCGGTCCCACTTTGACCTCTGTCACCTGCGTCTCTTGCCTCCCATCTCACACTCTCCCAGGTGTCTCACTGATCATGGCCACAGTTTGGGGTGGGTAGAAAATGGATTCTGGATGGCAACTTGGGTCTTCACATCCACTGTGTCCCAAACTGACTTAGTCTTCATACCACAACCCGTCCTGGACACAGTCCCCCACCCACCAGGCAGGACACTGTCCTTGGTCTCTTGGGTGTTCCTCTATTCCCTTCTGCTCCCTTCCTGTGGCCCCTACAGTGGTCCAGCCCTGTCTCTCCTGCCCAGGTCCCTGTCCCAGCCTGCTCCCTAGGCTCCCAGCCTCCAGTATCACCCTCTTCAATCACCTTCACACAGCAGCAAAGGGAAGTTTCAAAACCTGGTTTTAGCCCTTTCCTGTGCAAAACCCTTCCATGGCTTCACAGCGCCCTCCTCCTGGCTGTGGCAAGACCAGAATGCAACACCCAGTCTCCTTCGCCATCCTCTCTCCCCAGCCCTTCCTTTGCCCTCCAAATCATGCCATGCTATGCTTATTTCAGTTCTTCAAATGTGCCATGCCTCCCTCCTGCCTTGCCAGACCTTTGGCCTTGCTGCGTCCTCTGCCCAGAATGCCCTCCTCACAGTTCATCTGGCTAATTTCTGCTCATCCTACCACTCACAGTTCAGACAGCTCCTACAGGAAGCCCTTCTTCCCTCTTCTCAGGCTGGGCCAGTTACTTCCTCAAAAAAAACCCCTAGGTTTGCCCCATCATGGCTCCATTCCTCTGGCCTGTGCTTTTCCCTCCTGTCCTGATTTCTTTGGTTGTCACTATCTGGTGATACCTATGTTTGTTCCCTGTGGACTATGAGCCCCTTGAGGACACAGTGATCTTTCCTAGTCACTACTATGCCCTCAGTGCCCAGAATAGGACCTGAACATCATGGATGCTCTGAAATATTTATTGAATAAAAGCATCTAATAGAATTGGGACCAGGACTAGTTCTCCTGGGAAGTCCCAATACCCACGTTAATCCATATGTTCTGAAATTGTTTGCTGTTGTTGTCTAAAATGACAGCATTTAACTGATGGCAGCTTGGCAGCTCTCTACAGGAGGAAGAGTTAGATCACACCATTTTCCTGCAAGGCCAGCAGCCATCAGGTCAATAAACATATTAGTCTCACCAGCAGATGTTCTTGGCGGAACACAACGTCCAGTCATGGGGTCAAACTCCTCAGGGCTGGTGGGGCAGACACAGAGGAAGGAGCCTTCGACATTTTCACACAGGGCAGCTCCACACACACCCTGTAGTGTTTCACATTCATTCACATCTGTGAGTTGGAGACAACAATGGTTATAAAATTCTGTGATTCCAAAGGTCGAAAGGCTAACGAGTATTTCTATTGACCAAGACCCCTTTCCACTTCTCTTCTGGGGACAAGTCCTGAATTTCTGTGGGCAGCCTGTGCCCCTTTTTCCACCAGTGCCTTGTGAGTAAGGCATAAATGTCAAGCACAACCAGTCAAATTACTGCATTCCTCTGGTTCAAAGACAGGCAGTGCCCATGCTGGGCCAATTAAAGCCAGTCCTGGGACTTTTCTAGAAATACCAAAAAAGGACCTTGCCCCCTTGGAACCAGCAGATGGCATAATGGCTATGTTGCTGGACTCCCATGTAGTCGATTGTGGTTCGAGTCCCAGACCCAGCAATGAGTGTATGTACATCCGTGCCCAAAATCCTGAGAAGAAAATGGAGGAGAAGGGATTGTAGCGGCCCATCCTACCAGCGGGTGATTTCTCACTTTCTGTCTCTCTCTCTCTCTCTGTCAAGCACTATAGCAAAAATCTCTCCAAAAAATATGAGCCTTGCCCCTTAGCTCTTGGGCTACTACGCTGAGGAAGTTAACCCAGATGTGCTACAGCCTTCCTTATCATTGTGAAGAACAAGTCCCCTGGAAAAGAAGTCTACTAGAGAAAAGCACGCTGAGAGAGAGAGAGAGAGAGAGAGAGAGAGAAAGAGATAGCCTTGTTAAAATTCCTGGTTCTTGGGACCAGCAGATGGTGTAATCGTTACATCACTGGTCTCCTACGTAGTCGACCACAGTTTGAGTCCTGGACCCAGTAGTTTAAAACTCATGTTGTGTACATGTGCGTGCGTGCCCAAAATCCCAAGAGGAGACTGAAGGAGAAGGGATTGTGGCATGGCCATCCCCTTGGGAAGTGATTTCTTGCTTTCTATCTCTCTCTGGTGAGCACACATGCAAAACAAAACAAAAACAAAGAAATAAAGTCTATCATATTTGGATTTGTGAAAATTTAAGAAAATACATAATTAAGATTCATGCATGGGACCAGCAGTTAGCGTAATGGCTATGTCGCTGGACTCCATGTAGTTGACCATGGTTCGAGTCCCAGACCCAGTGGCTTAAACTCACGCTGGGTGCGTGTGCGTGTGTGCCCAAGATCCTGAGAGGAGAATGGAGGAGAAGGGATCGTAGTGTGGCCATACCCCCTGTCTCTCTCTTTCTGGTGAGTGCACTCACCCTATAGCAAAAACCTCTCAAAAAAAAAAAAAAAAAAGATTCATGCATATCACTATAAAAATTGAACCTCAAATTAAAATGTCTGTAAACACACTTTGAGCTGTGATAAGTGATATACATATTGAAGAATACAGGGGGAAGTATACTAATGCCTGCAGTTTACTTTTAAATCTGTCCAAAACAATTGGAGGTTAATGGACAGATACGTGAGGGAGAAAGTATAATAAAATAATCTAGATCATGAGTATGCAGGTGTTCACTCTCTAATCTTTTCAGTTTGTTGTGTGCTTAGAAATTTTCCTCATACAATGTTGGAGAAAATGTTCACATACACTTAAGACTAGTGTACTTTTGCCTGCCCAAAATCCCAGACGAAGAATGGAGAAGGGACTATGGTATGGCCATCCCTTCTGGGGAGTGATTTCTCACTTTCCCTCTTACTCTTTCCACCCTATGGCAAAAACTTTAAAAGGGCGGGAGGTGGGGCTGGGGATGGCGGCAGGTGGCCTGGTGGTTAAGGGCACTGGACTCCCACATCGCCAATGGCAGTTTGAGTCCCAGACCTGGCGACTTGCTTTCTCGCTTTTCCTCTCTCCCTCTCACTCTGTCCCTCTCTGGTCAAATTAAAATACATAAACAAACAGAGATAAATAAAATAATTCTTAAAAAAAAAAGGATTAGTGTACTTTACACACTTTATATATATTTTTAAATATTTATTTATTGATTTATTTATTTTATTCCATTTGTTATTATTATTTTTTGATTTGATCAGAGAAAAAGAAAGAGGAAGCGAGAAACCAAGTCACCAGGTCTGGGACTCAAACTGCAGTCGGCCACATATTAATCCAAAGCCTTTAACTGCTGCTCCTTCAGCACAAGAATTTTTTTTTTTTTTAAGAGGAATTTTTGCTATAGGGTGTGTGTGCTTGCCAGAGAGACAGAGGGACAGAGAGCAAGAAATCATCCCCCAGGGAGGATGGCCATGCTACAATCCCTTCTCCTTCACTCTCCTCTCAGGATTTTGGACACACACACACACAAACACACACACACACACACACGTTTTTTTAAGCTGCTGGATCTGGGACTTGAACTCCACAGTTGCTTATGTAGGATCCAGTCGCCTTAACCACCATGCCACCTGGCTGGCCCACTTTATATATTTTCTAAAAGTACATATAGGAGGGGCCAGTGTGCTGGTTAGGGGAGCTGGATTCCCACATGGCCGACCATGGTTTGAGTCTTGGATCTGGTGGCTTGCTTTCTCACTTTCCCTCTCCCTCTCTCTCTCCCTCACTCTCACTCTGTCCCTCTCAGGTCAAATTAAAATAAATAAATACAAGTTAAATAAAATAATTCTTAAAAAAATAGTTAACATGGCAAAAAGAAAAACAAGAAAACCCTGAACAAGTAAAGTTTCTGTCACTTGCTACTGGAACAGTTTTGAGTGATGTAAAGATGCCCTTATATTCCAAGTCTAAATTCCACAACCCTAAAGTTCGTATGCATTCAGCTGTATGGAGGAGCAGGACCTGACCGACCTCTTCCCCACCCCACCCAGGTCCCAACCAGCCCCTGGAGCCCCGTACCCACGCAGTGACGCCCGTCCCTCGCCCCCTCATATCCCTGGTCACAGAGGCACTGGAAGGAGCCTGGCAGGTTCTGGCACACGGCATGGGCACCACAGAAGGACCGGTTCCGGCATTCATCCACATCTGCAACACCAGACAGTTAGGCCATCTCTGGAGTTCAGTCCCCTCCACATCTCACCAATGTCCAAGGACACCCACCCTGGCATACACCCTCTGGCGTAGGTTGATATCCAGGATCACAGGCCGGTGTGCAGCGGTAGGAGCCAGGGGTGTTCTCACAGCGCTGGGCTCCACAAATCAAAGAGCCATATTCTTGGCACTCATCCACATCTGCAGCAGAGAGAGGAGGAGAGGAAAGAGAGGGAAGAGACCGACTCAAAGGCCTGGATTCACAGGTTCCTGCCGCCACTTCCAATCCCCATGACTGAGATGTCTCTCTGAGTCTGGTATTTTAGGAGTCTGAGCGGGGTTTTACTTTTGCACTTGCTGTTCTGTCTGCTAGGGAACAGTCCCCTCTCAGCTATCTGCATGGCTCCCTCCCTCGTTTCACTCAGATGTCTAGGTCAAGGTCAAGGTCAAGCCCTCATGGTACCCCCTCCACCTACTTTGTTTTGTGTTTATGTTATTTTATTATTTTGTTTGTTTGTTTTTCCTATATGGCATATACACTCGCCAAAGTGAGAAATCACCCCCCGGGTGGAGGCCAAACTGCAATCCCGGTGTAAATGTACATGTGCCCGGTATGGTTTTCAAGCTTCTGGGTCCAGGACTCAAACCATATAGCCTGCCACATGGGATCCATCGCCTTAACCTCCACACCACCTGCTGGCTCTGCTTATGTTATTTTACTCATGATAAAGAGCACATGCACACACAAACCACAGCAAGAAAAAGGGAGTGGAGAGAAAGAAGCACCTTTGACGGGGTCTCCTCACACCTGCATCTACTTCCTCTAGCCCTCCAGCTCATCGGGATCATGGGCACACACATGCACCCACCTGTTTCAGGTCACAGTGCTGTGTCTGATCTCTAGTCCGCCATGTGGCCTCCCGCACTGCAGCTCAGGACACTACTGACTGCGCCAAAGACTAGCCTTTCTTCCTTCTTAAACCTGACGATATGCCATACACTCGTATTTACTGCTATGCTGTCACCTCCCTAGAATACAAACTCCACAACAAAAGGGACTTGTGTGTGTCGTGCCTCCCCATATCCCTAAGGCATAGAAAAGTGCCTGACACAGAGTGTGTGCCCCCAAATTATTTGCTGAAGAAATTTTCAATTTAGGGACCAGCAGGTGGCATAATGGTTATGTCACTGGACTCCCATGTAATCAACTGCGGTTCAAGTCTCGGACCTGGTGGCTTAAACTCACGCTGGGCACATGTGCGTGCGTGCCCAAGATCCCGAGAGGAGAATGGAGGAGAAGGGATTGCAGTGTGACCATCCCCCTTGGGGAGTGATTTCTTGCTTTCTGTCTCTCTGGCGAGCGTACAGAAAAAAACCTCTCCAAAAAATAAATAAATAAAATATCAATTTACAGCATAAAACCTCTCCAAAAATAAATAAAATTTCAATTTATAGATATGTAAATGATATACTTGTTTGTCTCAATACTCTAAGAATGTTAGCTCCATGACAATAGGGGTTTTCATCTGACTCACTTCCTTTTGGACCAAATAGGTGCTTAATGAACTGTTGTGGGACTAGTGAATGAGAGCGCATGAAACTAGACTTCTGTGAGTCAGAGGTCTAGCAGCCAGAGTCAAAGGTAGCCCACAGTCATTTTGTTTCACGTGTTCCATAAAATGCTGACCCCCCACACCATCCCCTCGATATGTGTGTGTGTTGTCTGTCCACCTCCAAGGAAGTCCTGGAAAGCAAGAACAGTAGACAAGGGACAGACAGCAAAATACAGACAAGAAGGGGGTGGGCCTATGTTTCCAAGTGCTCAAGAAGTCTGAGGAATGGTAAGGAACAGAGTCCTAAGAAATGAATGGGAGGGCCAAGTTTAAAGGGCAGGAGCCTGCATTTGGAGAAACTTTGGGGAATTTGGCCTTGGAAAAGGATGGGGCTCAGGGCAGTCAGGGTTGGTGCTTCTTTGGAGGGGCGGCTGGAAGCAGAATGAGTGGTAGAGGATGGGGAAAGGACAAGTCCAAATTTATATTAGGAAGAGAAGAGGCCCTACAATTCCTACAGTTAGGAGATGTCTTCCTGGGGTACAGACGAAAATGGGGACCTGCTTCGGCTGCAGAGGCAGTGTGGGCTGCTTCTGGATGAGGGGCTTGGCCTTCAGTCCCTCACTCCAACCCCGTGCCCCACCCCTCACCCCCCACAACCCCCAGCGGGCACAAGAAAATACAAGGACACAATGGTAGCTTTTGTCTCCCACAAAGATACAGCAAAAAGGGTTTAGGTTGTGGGGCCCCTTCCCTTCCCCTCTATAAGGCAGGGCACTGCTCCCCAGAACAGTGTGGAGGAGGGGAGCAGTGTTCAGCAACGCGAAGTGGGACCTGGCAGGGACATTGGGTAGGGGTTGTGGGGAAGTCGCCTCACCGTCGCAAGTGCCCTCGGGGCCTGCGTGGTAGCCCGGATCACAGTCCCGGACACACCGGTAGGAGCCGGGGGAGTTTTCACAGCGTTGGGACCCGCACAGGGCTGGGCCTCGCTCGCGACATTCGTCCACATCTAAAGAGGAAGGCAGGGTGGTCAGATGGGGTAAGCAGGGAAGCAAGGTGGGGGTGTCGAGGAGGGAAAAGACGTGCAGAAGGGGGAGGAGGAGAAGCTGCGGAAGGGCAGGGAGGGAGTCAAGGAGCGGAGATGGGGGGTAAAAGAGGAGGGGTGAGAGAATCTGGAAAGGGGAAGGGAGGAAAGGAGGAAGCAGCAGAGGAAAGGCAGAGGTGGGGGCGAACGAAGGAGTCGGGCAGTCTGAGGAGGGAGGGGGGATCAGACCCGAATAGGGCCTCTCACCGAGGCAGGAGGCGAGGTCCGGGCCGGCGCGGTGTCCAGGAGGACAGATGCACTCGAAGGAGCCGTCGGTGTTAGTACAGATGCCGCTCTGGCACAGGTCCTCCTCGCTGCACTCGTCCACGTCTGCAGGACACGGTGTCCGAAAGCCGGGCTCGTGTTCTTCCCTGGCTCTGTCCGGGGTAGGTACACCCCTCCACTGCCCTTTCCCCGCCCCTCGTGGCTCCAAACCCTTCAACGCCTTCCCCACCTGCCTTAGGCTCCGCCCTTCCCTACAAGCCCCGCCCTCGGCGCATTTAGACAGGCAGGTCCTTTCCTATCGCTGAGCAACTAGACTCCGCCTTTTCCCTAGCCTCTCCGCTCTTCTCCACGGTCGCCGCGTGGAGATCTCAGCCAGCCCTGCCCCTACGATGCATGACGACCCCAGCTAAAAACTGAGATTCTCTATTTCGTTCTCCTCTCTTCGTCCCGCCTTTTCCTGTTTTTAAGCCCACCCTTTCCGGGTCCAGGCCCAGCCTGGGTACGGACCGAGGCAAGAGGCTCCGCGGGGTCCGGGCCGGTAGCCGGGGGCACAGGTACAGGAGAAAGAACCGTCGGTATTGAGGCACTCGCCATGGGGGAAGCAAAAGTCGCCCTCCAGGCACTCGTTCACGTCTAGGGTACAAAAAAGACAAGGCTGTGGGGTCACCGGACCCGTCCACGCAGGCATGAGTCCCACCTCCGAACCACAGCCCCGATTGTTGATGTCTGAGTTCCTCCTATAGTTCCTAAGTCCAGCTTCCACCCTCCCAGCAGGCTTTGCCTAGGAGCCCAGGCCCCACTCCAGAGGTCTTTAGCGGGTCCCCAAGCTGCCCACCTGTACAGGGCCCTGGCCGGCCGGATGGCGCCCGGTAGCCCGGAGTGCAGCTGCAGCGGAAAGAGCCTTCGGTGTTAGTGCAGTGGCCGTGGAGACCGCAGGGGGCGCCCGTACTGCATTCGTCTACATCTGTGAGAATAGGGGTTTCAGAAGGGCTCCAGTCTAGACACACGGAGCAGGGAGGCCTGGGAGAGGTGATGGGAGTCTCTTGAATTGGGGATGGAATGAGGGCTCCATGCGAAAGGTGGGTAGGGCAGACTGAGGTTCCCTGGTTCTGGGAACCTTGACTGGGTATGGTTCAAGCCTGGGTTTCTGGGGTCAGGGAATAAAAGGGTAAAAACTTAATGAGGGTAAAGGGTCAAGTAGTATAAACGAAGGTCATTGGATGGGATTCTGCTAAGTCAAAGGTCAGAGTCAGTGACTGGAATCTGACACCAGTTAGGGTTGGAGGTGACAGTAAGGGTTCAGAATTTTGCCTCAAGTCAGGGTTTGAGGTCAGGGCTCATGAATTCCAATAAGGTTCCAGGAATGAGATTCTGAGAAGAGGTAGGACAATAAGTGACCAGATCAAGGGTCACAGAGTCAGGGGCTGTGGTCAAGGGTACAGTCAAAGGTTATGGTTAGGATCAGATGCCACAGTCAAATTCTGGTGTTACAGGTCACACTCAGGGCCACAACTGTCACAGTTACTATCAGGTTTGTGGTCAGGGATATCAGTAAGGGTCATGGTTAGGGTCAAATGTCACAGTCAAGTTGAGAGTTCATGGGTCACAGTGTCAGCAGTCACAGGTTGTGGGGGTTGAGGTCCAGGTAAGGGGATTGAGGTCCAGGTCAGAAGGTTATGGGCAGATCAGGATGATGTCTCGGTCAAGGGTCATGATCTGGTCAGATCATGAGGCAGGTACAAGATTACAGCCAGGGCCTGGTCTCACCAGTGCATCTGCCATGGTGCAGGTGGTGGCCAACGGGACAGGCCCTGCACTGGAACGAGCCGGGTGAGTTCACGCACTCCTGCCCAGGACAAGCTAGGTAGTTCTCACACTCATCCACATCTGGAAGGGCAGGGGAGAGGTGGCCTTGAAGGAGTGACCCAATACCCCCCTTAGCCAGTCACACTCCTCCCTCCCGGCCTCACCCTCGCACTCGGAGCCAGCAGCGTTGGGTTGGAAGCCAGCGGGGCAGACACACCGGAAGCTGCCTTCTGTGTTCTCACACCGACCGTAGGCGCAGGGTGGGGGACTGTGGGCACACTCGTCCACATCTGGGGCAGAGAAGATCAGTCGGGCCATGGAGAGGGCTTGGGTCCATCTCCACCCACCCCAACCTTCCAGTCTTGAACCAGACTTTGCCTGGGATGTGCCCTCCTCCCAGGAGGATAAACTTCGTCCTTTCCCCATTTACTAGTCTCTCCATCTGTGAGGCTACAGCACCACTTCCCCCATGTTGCCTTCCCCACCCCAGTTGTCCCTCTTCAAGGGTCCCACAAGAATAAGATTATCATTGGGAACCAGCAGTTAGCATAATAGCTATGTCGCTGGATTCCTACGTAGTAGACCACGGTTCGCATCCCGGACCCGGTGGTTTAAACTCACGCCGGGCGTGTGTGCGTGCATGCCCAAGATCCCGAGAGGAGAATGGAGGAGAAGGGATTGCGGTGTGACCATCCCCCCTGGGGGGTGATTTCTCGCTTTCTGTCTCTCTCTCTGTCTCTGTCTGTCTGGCGAGCGCACGCGCCCTATAGCGAAAACCTCTCAAAAGAAAAAAAAAAAAAAGAATAAGATTATCATTCAGAAAGGGAGGAGTACTGGGGAGCACTCTTATTTTGGAGAAAGAGAAGACTGGTGTTGAACCCTCCCTGCCTCTCATACCCGCCAGCCCTCTATGCCTGTCTTCCATTGCTGCGCCTCATCACATTGCCTTCTGGCCCTGCAAAATGGCTCTCTAGTCCCCACTGCAAATGGTGGTTAAACTCAGCACCCTCACCTTGGCAGGGGGCCCCCGGCCCTCGGGAGTGGAAGCCAGCTGGGCAGGCACAGTGAAAGGAGCCAGCTGTGTTGTCACAGCGGCCTGGCCCGCAGGGCGGTGGCTCCTGGGCACACTCATCCACATCCTCTTCACACGCTGAGCCCCGGAAGCCAGCCGGGCAAACACAGCGGAAAGAGCCGGGCAGGTTTTCGCAGACCCCGCGGCCACAGAGGCCCGGGCTCTGGGTGCACTCGTCCACATCTATGTGGGGCAAAGGAGAGTGGGGTCATTATTCCCCTGTGCTCCACTCTGCCTCCTGGACCTCCCATAATTTTGACTTTCTACCTCCATCGTTCTGCCACCTTGTCCCCCATCATTTGGACTTCCAACTTCCAGTCAGTCCCTATGAAGCAGGCTGGCTGGACCCCAGAACTTTGTCTCTAGCCCCCTCAAGTGAGTCTCCTCCTATGTCCTCCACAACTCTGCCACCAGTCCCTGATTACTGCCATCTCCATCCTTCATGACTCAGCCTTTCTGTTTCCCATCACTTGCTCTCTCCATCGCCCTGTCACTATGGCCATCAGGACACTTGTCTGGTTTTCACAACCTGGCCCGGGGCTCCATCAACCAGTCTCCCTTCGCCCCAGTGCTCAGTCTCTCCGTCCTTTATCACCGCTGCCCCAGCCCACCCCACCCCTTTCTCCTCGGCCCCTCCCAGTCCCTCACCCTGGCAGCTGGCTCCGTGCGGCGCAGCCTGGTACCCGGCCGGGCACACGCACAGGAAGCTGCCTGGTGTGTTCTCGCAGCGCCCGCGGTCACACGGCGGCGGCACGCGGTGGCATTCGTCCACGTCTGTGGGCATAAACCAGGCGGCTGGGACTGGGGCAGACAGTCCCCGGAGACGACAAGGCACCGAGGTAGGGGGAAGGGCAGGGGCGGGGCCGCGCCTGAGCGCGGGCGAGGCTGGAGCCGGGCTCGGGGAGATGGGCGGGTCTCGGGGTGGGTAGGCTTAAGGTGAGGCGGGGCGAGGGCGGGGTTTGGGTGGTGAAGGCAGGACAAAGGCTGGAACCCGCCAGGACAGAAGGCAGAGGGAGACCGTGAGGGGGGCAAATTGGGGAGGACGGGCCCTTAGAAGGGCAGCTTTGGGGACTTGAGCAAAGGGAAGGCAGGAGTGGGGCTAGAGAAGGAAAGGGTCGGCTTTAGGTCGGAGTTCTAGGTAGGGGTGATATAGGGGGTCGTGGGCAGACTGGCAGCACCAGTTGTGGAGCACGTCCGGGTCTCGGGGCCAAAGCCAGTCTGGAATATCGGAGGGGCGGGGCCAATGGAGTGGCCGGGCCAGGCCCGGACTGGAAGGGCCGGTTTAGAGCCTGGGCAGTGATGGAGTGGAAGTGAAGGCCACCCGCCTGGGGAAGCGTGGGAGGGTGGGTGCCGTCCTGGAGTGAGAGCAGGAGAGACCCAGGCAGGGGTGAGGCCTGGAGCCAGGCAGGGCGGATTCCTCACCCAGGCATTCCGCAGCCCGCGGGCCAGCTCGGAAGCCTGGGCCGCACACGCAGCGGAAACTGCCCTGTGTGTTCTCGCAGCGTCCGGGAGCACAGGGCGGCGGAATGCGGCGACATTCGTCCACGTCTGAGGGCACGGACGGAATTAGTCATGCAATGATGAGGCAGAGGACCCTATCCCGCCTCTGTCCACTTCTCTGCTCACCAATGCAGCGGCTGCCCTGGGGGCTGAGTCGGAAACCGGAATCACATGCGCAGGTGTAGCCGCTGGGCCGGGGTATGCAGCGTCCTGGGCCACAGACCTGGGGATTGCGCTGGCACATGCTCGATGAGCGACCTGGGGGGGGGGCGCAGTCATCTAGAGTTCCCCCATCTCTGAATCCTCTGTCCCTTTCATCACACTACTGTCTCCTCAGGTCGTCTGCCTAAAACAGCTTTATCATGCCCCCTCCCCAAGCCCAAATTTATACTTCGGATCCCCGCTCTCCTTTATCCTTGATTCTCACTAGAATCTCTGCCTGAGTCCCCTATTAATGCCACCCGCAAGGTTTCCATCTTTGAGGTTTTGTTTGTTTGTTTGTTTGCTTTTTTGCTATGGGGCGAGTGGGCTCACCAGGAAGACAGAGAGACAGAGAGATAGAAAGTGAGAAATCACCCCCAGGGGGGATGGCCACGCCGCAAGCCCTTCTCCTCCATTCTCCTCTCAGGATCTTGGGCACGCACGCACACACGCCCGGCGTGAGTTGAAGCCACCGGGTCCAGGACTCGAACCGCAGTTGGCTACGTGGGAGTCCAGCAACATAGCCATTAAGCTAACTGCTGGCCCCAATATTTTGCTCTTCAACCCTTTGCCTGAGATATGTACTTAGTGTCCTCTGTGGAAAATAATTATTTAGCATTAACTAAACACTATGTGCAAGGCATTAACTCAACGCTATACATGAGGTACTTCAGAGACATCTCACTGAAGCCTTACAGTGATCCCCATTATACAGATGAGAAAATAGAGTCTCAAGGAGGTTAATGGCTCCTTCAATTGACAGAGAATTTGAGCCCAGTCTGTCTTCAGCTCCTGACCTAACTACCCACTTAACTCTCAAACACTTATCTTGTCACACCCATTCCTTAATTCCTCTGCTTGTGACATCTCTATTTGTTCCATCCTGGAATCTTCGCCTTGGATGGAGCCTCCTCCCGTGAACCCCAGCTGTAATGTGCCCATCTCTCTACTGCACCTGATTCAGGAATCACAGGGCCAGTCCAGGCTGGGATGCTAGGCACAGGAAGCTCAGGACCAGGCCGGGACTCAGGCTGCGGCTCAGGCTGGGGCTCTGGGCGATGGGTGGGCAGAAAGCCTGGTAAGGAAGGGGTATCAGCGAGTATATTCACGTGTCCCTGCTCCTGTTTCTTCTCTTTTCCTTATGGGGTTTGGCAGCCACTTGAAGACACCCCCTTCTTTTTTTTTTTTTTTTTTTTTTTTTTTTTTTTTTTTTTTTTTTTTTTTTTTTTGAGAGGTTTTTGCTATAGGGCGTGTGCGCTCTCCAGACAGACAGAGAGAGACATAGAGACAGAAAGCAAGAAATTACCCCCCAGAGGGGATGGTCACGCCACAATCCCTTCTCCTCCATTCTCCTCGCGGGATCTTGGGCACGCACGCACACCCGCCTGGCGTGAGTTTTAAGCCACCGGGTCCAGGACGCGAACCGTAGTCGACTACGTGGGAGTCCAGCAACATAGCCATTACGCCAACTGCTAGTTCCCGAGACACCCCCTTCTACAGGAGCCAGCTGACCTGTTGGTGGCCGAGCAGTGGCCGGTGGTGCACGTGGCTGGCTGAGGGACACTCGAGGTGGCTCATGGCCCAGGGGTCTGGTGTTGTAGCGGAGGTCAGAGGCTGAGTAGTGGTAGCCAGGGCCAGCCGGGCAGATCTCCCGAAAACCCTCTGGGAACAGGAAAGGGAGAAGGGCAGAAAAAGGCCCAAAGACCAGGAGGGAATGAAAGAGAAACGGGGGAGTCTAGGCTGGGCGCAGGGCCTAGCCTGAGGCTGTGCCAGGGGTTTGGGTTAGATGCTGGGATGGATGATGCCCTGGTCAAAGAATAGGACACATCACAGGTTAAAGGTGAGGCCAAAGGCATTTTTCCCCACTTGGGATGTGCCAAGGACGGAGTTGAAGGTGAGGTCTGGTTTGGGGTCTATATGGGCTTAGAGGAGAAGGAAACTCCGATATGAGTTTTAGTTTTAGGTATAAGTTGGAATGCCAAGGAGGTATCTCAGGGAGGGGGTGTCTGGGGTGGAGCCTAAGCCAAAAGCTGTGTCTTAGGAGCTGGGGACTTGGCCAGATCTGGGGATAGCACTGGACAGGCAGCGGATCTCACTGTCGGGAAGTGAACTCAGGAGACGGCCAGCCTGACATCAGGGAGGTGTGTCTCAGGGAAGAGTGGCAGAGCAAGGAGCTGGACCCTGGGGGCACTCCAGTGTGAGGATCTCAGGTCTCAGAGACTGTGGGCATAACCAAGGCTGGCCAGGTTTGAGCGTGGTGAGCCTCAGAGTCAGAGGGCAGAGCCTAGAGTGAGCACTGCGCATGACACAAGGAGCTCACCTGAGCCGAAGGGTGGGCAGAGCTGGCAGCCCCGGCCCCAGGCCTTGCCCACGCGGCTACAGCAGCAGATCTGCTTGGTGATGTTGCGCAGAATGGGCAGCGAGCAGCCACCGTCACGGAGCACGCGGAAGCAGGGCCCCTTCGCCTCCGATATCACATGTTGGGCTGGGGGAAGAGGAGAAAATTCTTCAGGGTGGAGTTGGGAGTACTGTGGAACTGAGGGAAAGGGACCTGCGAGCTAGGGAAATGGTCCTGGGAGGTTTGGTGGCTGCAGGGGACATCTGGGAGAGGTCTGAGAGGATCTGAAGGAAAGCTGAGGCATCTGGAGATGGGAGAAGGGTCTGGGGCCTGAGCAGGGTATAGTGAGTCAGGAAATCTGAGAAGGATGTCAGAATCTGAAGGTCTGGTGGCCCAAGCAGACAAGAGGATTTGGGGGCTCTAAGAAGAGCTCCAGAAAGTCTGGGTATCTGAAGGGATCTAGATCCAAAAAGGTTCGAGGGGTTCTGAAAATGGCCCAGGGAGTCTGAGGGTAATGAGAACCTGGAAAGTTCTGAGGAGACTCTTGGGGACTGACTGAGGGGGACCTGGGAGTCTTGAGAATTAAAGGCAGGGGATTCTCTGGGATGTGGTCTGAGGGCAGGAAGGGCTTGGGATCCAGCCTCAGCCTCCTGCAGGAGACTCACAGATGCAGCTGCTGCGGGATGAGTCGAGCAGGAAGCCATCAGGGCACACACACGTGTACCCACCACGCGTGTTTGCACACTCCCCATGCTGGCAGCGCCCGCCAGTTGCACATTCATCCACATCTGCAAAGATTGTGGAGGTCACAGAACAGTCTCAGCCATGATTGCCATGATTCTGGCCAGCTTCACCTCCAGAGACAGGCCCCATCACCCCGCACCAACTCACCTTCGCAGGACCCATTAACCCTTTCAAAACCGGTTGGACAAGGTCCATCTGGGGAGCCTACACGGTCAGAGTTCCCTGTGGAGAGAGGAAAGAAATGGGACAGGTGGATGGAGCGACAATGGAGGGGGCAGGGACGAGGATAGGGTGAGAAATCAAAATACGTTGGGCCTAAGTTTGACTGCAGTCAACCTTTGCTTGTTTGTCCCAAGAGGGGAACAAGGACTGTTCCCCAAGTGCATAGATAGGACAAGGCACAAAAGCAGGGTGAGAAAAGAGCTGCCAGAGTCAGAAAATGGGTGGTGATCTCAGAATGGTACGGAGAGATCTACACTGGAAACGATCCCCATAACGGGGGAGGCGTGGCTAGCATTTGTGAAGGGAGTTTATGTACCGGTAGCGTGGGAGGGCTGCGGTGGTTCTCACCCCTCCCAAGCTCCGAACACCTTGAGGACGGCCAGAGACTTACCCAGGTGCTCCGAGCACGACTGACAGTCGTGAACGCCCCAAGCCAAGCCAGCCCCTCTGCAGCAGACCTCCTGCGTCCGGAGCCCGGGCAGCGGGGACACACACTGTGGGGAAGTGTTGGGTAAGTGCGCCCCCACGCGGTGGCACGCTCCGGATCCCACCCCCACCAGCCTCTTCTTACTTCGCCTCCGCGCAGCTCCCGAAAGCAGTAACCGAAGCCAGAGGCGTCGGAGTAGCCGTTTTCGCGAGGCGCGCTCTGCGCCAACACCGTGTAGGGCGCCGCCGCCTCCGCCCGCGCCGCCCCCTCCGCCCGAGC